CCCAAGGCCCTGGATTCAATAAAATAAAATAAATAAACTTTTTGAGATAGAAAGGATCTCATCTGATTCAATTTTTCACTTTATAGAGTGAAAGTGACTTGTTCAAGGCCACCAGGAAAGTGATGGCAGAAGCAGGATTTGAGATAAGAGTCCCTTGACTACTAGAAAAGTGCTCTTTTCACTACATTTTGAAACTCTGTAGGTGCTTCTTTCCACCCAGTATCCCCTTCCCACTTCCTGAGTGCCACAAGCACCAGTCCCTATCCTTGGAAACGCCAAAACTACAGAGGGAAATGGCATCAGGATGCAGACAGAGGGACAATGACAACTCCTTTAGAGATGGTGCCTTAGTCACAAGTGCTAGAAGAGGAGGAACTAGATTGAACAAATACGCTTTGCTATCCATCCTGTTCACATGACCCTGAAAGCCATATTTTACCAGTCCCACTTTCTATCCTGATCAGAGTTCAAGGACCTGTAGGGGTAGATTATGGYGTCTGCCTTGCATAAAAAGCATTTCTGCTGGGGTGGTGGCTCACACCATAATCCCAGTGACTCAGGAGGCTGAGTCAGGAGGATCCCAAGTTCTAGGCTAGTCTCAGCAACATAGTGAGACCCTGTCTCAAGATAAAAAACAAAAAGGACTGGGGATGTCACTCAGTGGTAAAGTACGCCTATGTTAAAACTCCAGTGCAAAAAAAAATTAATAAAATCTTAGAGATAATGACAAAAAAGATGTGCAGTGCCAGTATACTTAAAATTAGAAAGCACTGCTGAGAAAAACCAAAGAAGATCTAAACAAATGAAGAATTATACTGTGTTTATGTGTTCTTGAGTGGCAAAAGAATATATTCTTTTTTTTGTTGTTGCAATACTGGGGGTTGAACCCATAGATGCACTGTCACTGAGCTACATGCTCAGACCTTTTATTTTATTTAATTTATATTTTTTTTTCCGGAGGGTGAGTACTGGGGATTGAACTCAGGGGCACTCAACCTCTGAGCCACATCCCCAGCCCCAGCCCTATCTTGTATTTTTTTAAAGACAGGGTCTTATCAGTAAGATAAGTGCCTTGCTTTTGCTGAGGCTGGCTTTGAACTCCTGATCCTCCTGCCTCAGCCTCTCAAGCTGCTGGGATTACGGTGCCCAGTATGCTCAGATCTTTTTAATTTTTTATTTTGAGACAGGGCTCACTAAATTGCCCAATGTGACCTTGATTTTGTGRTCCTCTTGTCTCAGCCTCCCAAGTGGCTGGGATTACAGGTACACACCACTGCACCTGGCTGCAATAATATTGTTTTGTTTTGTTTTGTTTTCAGTTGTTGGTGGACTTTTATTTTATTATATTTATGCGCTGCTGAGAGTCAAACCCAGTGCCTCACACATGTTAGGCAAACATTCCACTACTGAGCTATAAGCCCAGCCCTGCAAAAATATTCTTAAATGTTAATTCTCACAATTGTAGGTTCAACAATCCTAATCAAAATCCTATCAGGCTTTTAAGTGTGTGTGTGTATATAATTTTGTGTATATATATATACACACACACAAGCATTCTAAAAGTCATGTGAAAATGAAAATATCCCCAAAATTTTGTAAAATAGCCAAATAATTTTGTAAAGAGATAATAATGGAGCAGCATTTGTGCTACCTGATCTCAAAGTTTCCTATAACACTAGAGCAGTCAAGACAGTGTGGTTTTGGCACTGGAGGTGTAACTCAGTGATAGAGCACTTGCTTAGCATGTATGAGGCCTTGGATTTGATCTATAGCACCAGAAAAACAAAGTGAGGTTTTGCAAAAGAATAGACACATTAACTAATGGAAAAACATCTAGTCCTGAAATAGACTCGCATATTTATGGTCAACTGACTTTCAACAAAAGTACAAAGAAAAATCATTGAAAAATGGATAGTCTTTGTCAACAAATGGTTCTGTAGCATCTGAATAGCTACAATTTTAAAATGTGTACAAGAAGCTGGGTTCACTGGCTYACGCCTGTAGTCCCATAATCCCAGAAACTCAGGAGGCCGAGGCAAGAGGATTGCAAGTTTCAGGCCAGCCTCAGCAACTTAGCAAGGTCCTAAGAAACGTACTGAGACCCTGTCTCAAAATAAAAAGTAAACAGGAATGGGGATGTGGCTCAGTAGTAGAGTGCCTCTGTGTTCAACTCCCAGTACTAATGAATGAATGGATAAAGAAAGAAAGGCAGAAAAGAAGGAAGAAAGGCCTGGGGATACAGCTCAGTATTAAAGCATTCTGTTAAATCCATGGTACCACCCCCCAAAAAAGAGTACAAGAGAGAGCTTCAGGGCCGGGGCTGTAGCAAGTGGTAAAGCACTTGCCTAGCACATGTGAAGCGCTGGATCTGATCCTCAGCACCACATAATAAATAAATATAATAAAGGTACTGTGTCCATCTAGAACTAAAAAGTATTTTTTTAAATAGAAAACTTCAATCCATTCTTCACATCATGCAGAAAAAATAACTCAAAATGGATCATAAACCTCAATACACCTAAACCCCCAAAACTTCTAGAAGAAAGCAAAGGATAAATCTTTTGTGGCTGTAGTTAGGTAAATATTTCTTAGTTAGGGGTTGAGGATGTGGCTCAAGTGGTAGC